CTTTGATCGATCTCCTCCAAGATGGCCCCAAGGTGGCCTCCAAGGATCCCACCCAAGAGTGCCCCAAGAGAGTCCTCAGAGGCGCCGAGGAGGCCGCGAGAGGCTCTCAAGAGATACCCGAGAAGCTCCCGAGAGACCCACGAGAGGCTCCACGAGGCTTGCTCAAGGCGCCAAACACGCTCTCACAGGCCCCCAGGACCGCCAAGAGGCCCCCAAGACGATCCAAGAGGCCTCCAAGAATCTTTCAAGAGGCATCCAAAGAGACTCCGAGCATCCACGAGGCCTCTGGCGGTTTTGCTCGCCTTTATCCTCCTCCTCATCCGCCGTCTGCTCCTCGTCCTCGGTCCTCCTCCCTGTTCACGTCCCCCTCACCCCTCCTCCTCCTTCTCTTCCTCCATCCTCCCCACCTTGACCTTGATCCTCCCCCTCTTGGGATACAACGGCTTCCCCAACCCGCTATTCAACTGCATGCTCTTACACATCCTTGATCAAGGCAATTCGTCTGCGCATCGATTCGGGGTGGGCTGGTGAAGCTACGCGAAGCGTCTAGACCCGGCTTCGTGGGCGGACCCCTGGAATGGTCTGTGCAATGATGTCGCGTGGGTCTCCGTGGGCGACGAACCAGACGTCGTCCTAGCTCTTGTCGTCGTCGTCGCTCTCGCCCTCGTCCTCGTCCTCGCCCTCGTCGTCGTCCAGAAGGGTCGAGGCTTGAGGCTCTTGGCCCTTCTGGCATCCTGGTTGCCTCGAGGGGCAACGACCCAAAGGGCTACCGGCGCAGGCGGGCACGCACACCGCTCCGGAACCGGCGAGGCGGCGCCGAGGCATCGGCGACGCGCCCCGGACAGCGAAAGGGCACGCTCCTGGGGAGGGCGGGCCCTCGGGCCCGCGGTCGGCGAAGCATGGGCGGAGGGCGATGCTTCGCCCCCTCGGCCTCTAGCCCCTCCCCCGTCCCGCACCGCGTGGCCCCCGAGGGACCGCTGACGGCCTCCGAGGGCCCCCCGAGGGGGACCGCGGGAGGCCTTCGCGGGAGGCCTTCGCGGGGGGGCCGGGACGGCGAGCCCGAGCGCCGTCGCAGCCGCTGTCGTCTTCGCCCCCCGGGGATGGAACAACTCGGGGTCAAAACGCGACGCCCCCGAGGGGGAGGAGGGAGGAGGGAGGAGGGGGGAGGGAGGAGGGGGGAGGGGGGAGGGAGGCGGGAGGAGGGAGGAGGGGGGGGGAGGGGGGAGGGAGGAGGGGGGGAGGAGGAGGAGGAGAGAGGAGGGTGGGCCGGCGGCGCGATAAGAGCCACGAGCACCTCGAGCCCAACTGGCTACGGCAGCTAACAGCAGTGAGCGAATTTCAACCGCAACGTCTGGGGAACGACAGAAGCTGAAACGCAACCGTCGTCGCCTCCACTCCTCTGCCCCCCCGGGAGTTCCTCAGGAGCCCTCAGGAGCCTCCCTCGGAAACCTGCCGCAGAGCCTTCGTCAGGAGCCTCTCTCGGGAGCCTCTTTGAGGAGCCTCCCTCGGGAGTCTCCCTCAAGATCCTTCATCCGCCCCTCCTCCTCCTCCTCCTCCTCCTCTTCCCCCTCCCCCTCCTCCTCCTCCTCCTCCCCCTCCCCCTCCTCCTCCTCCTCCTCCCCTCCTCCTCCTCCTCCTCCTCCTCCTCCTCCTCCCTCCTCCTCCTCCTCCTCCTCCTCCTCCTCCCCCTCCCCCTCCTCCTCCTCCGAGGCCACGATTCAGGGTAGACGGCGGTGGATCCCCGCTCTCGACCTTCCCCAAACAAACGGCTCCGGCAGGCCGCCAAGGCCGCCGAGGAGGGCCCAAGATGGCCTCAGAATCTCAGGACGGCCCAGAAAGAGCCTCCTCCTCCTCCTCCCCCTCCTCCTCCTCCCCCCCCCCCTCCCCCTCCTCCCCCCTCCCTCCTCCTCCTCCCCCCTCCTCCTCCTCCCCCTCCCCTCCAAGATGCCTCCAAAATCTCAGGACGGCCCAAAGAGAGCCTCCAGGAGAGCCCCCAGGAGGGCCACAAGAATAGCGCACTCCGGGTTTCTTCGTAGAAGGGAGGGGGTCACAACCCTCCCAGACGACAAGTTTTAGACCCTTCCAGAGCCCCAGGAGGGCCACAAGAATAGCGTACTCCAGGTTTCTTCATAGAAGGGAGGGGGTCACAACCCTCCCAGGCGACAAGTTTTAGACCCTCCCAGACCATCCATGAAAGGGCGGCCCTTCGCCCAGACCCCCCCGAATCCTCCGAGACAGCTCAAATCACCCCCCCCCCAAATGTGACCCCCCCCCCACTTTATTATGGAATCCGGAGTATCCCAAACAAAGCCCGAAGAAACCAAAATCATTGATCTCCGGTAGGCTCTTGAAAGAGATGCGCATTCTCGCTTCTTCGGTTTTCCGTCAGCTCAGACGGCTTTAGGGACGGCCCCAAGACGTCCCAAGAGGGCTTCTGGAAACACCCACAACGGCCTTACCAGGCCCTACGACTGCCCAAGACAACGCCAAGGCGGCCCCAAGGTACTCCCCCAGAAGGCCTAGAGGGCCGCAAGACGGCCCCCCAAAAAACCAAGACAGCCTAAGAGAGCCGCAATAGACCCTCAAGACGTCCCCGCAGGAACCCAAGACAACCCACGGCGGCCCAAATGAGCTCCATGAGAGCTTCCCGAGAAGTGCAGACGAAAGGTGTCACATGTGATGATCGTCATTTTCCTCTTGTTCCTCCTGCTGCTGCTCCTCCTCGTCGTCCTCGTCGCCACCATCCTCATGGCCCTCATTATCCTCATCACAACTCTCCCAGGCTTGGGGACACGAGGTGACACGTGACGGCCTCCCGTGCCCCCTCGAAGAGTCGCCACCCAGAACGCTGAGCTGGCATGGTGGCGGGACTTGTCGCAGGCAGCTGGATAGTCCAAGATGTTGACCAGACGTGGGCCCAACGTTTGCCCACCCTTGGCGCTCCCAAAAGGCAGGGTGGTGCGGCGGTTCGCTGCAGCGGTTCGCTGAAGGCGTCTTGACTTCCCCATTTGTCTAAATCGCCCCTATGAGAACATGCGCGCGTGCTCACACCTGCACCGTGCTGATATAGCCGCGCGTGCACAAAAGGAATACGCACGCCAATTGGTCACAAGACCTGTTGCCGGCCTTCTGCATCGGTACGCGGTAAAGCTCCGTCTAAGCGCATGCGCTAGCAAACAAGCGGGGCAAAACCCTAAAAGGTTGGCATTCCGCGCTCTGGATACATTTGTCCTGGGCATGGACGTTCCTCGAGTCTCGGTCGATGAACTTCGACCCTTGACCCTCGAATTAGGTCGGGCATGTCCTCCGATAGACGGATTTGAAGCGAAGAACGCAAAATAGTCAAACAAATAGCCAACACAATGAAAAAAAAACGCTCAAAAGATCAACCCCCATACTACTTTTTGACTAGCCTTGACTACTCCTCCCGTAGAGGGACAGACCCGACTCAACTCCTGACCCTCGAACCTGGGCCCATGGCCCACTGCGCCTCACCAGTGCCCCACCGTGCTCAGCTCCGTCCCTCGCCCCGTCCGCCCCCGCTCCCTGTCTGCTGTCTTCTCTTCGCTCCTTCCCGCCTGCCCGCACGTACTGCCTCGTCCAGCTGGCCCTGGCCTCCCGCCTGCGCGTTCGTCGTCGTCTACTCGATCCTCTCTTCAATTCTCTGGCTCTCTGACATAGAGGGTGCTTGTCCTGAGGGCACTGGGCCCTGTGCTCTGAGGCGTTCCCTGGCAGTCGCCCTTCACCCCGACTCGTCTTGGACAACTCTGGGAACCACAAGTGCCCTGGGAGACCAAAGACGGCGGAAGACCTCAGGACCCTCCATGGTGATCCTCCACATCCGCTCAGAACCGGCCCCTCAGACCCCGCCTGGGGTCGAACCCTGGCCAATTCTTCCAATTCTTCGCGCGGCGCTCTGCCGCCGCGACGCGAGCCCCCAGCAAAAAACCCGAAGCCCCTCGACACGAGGACAACGACGCTGGGCATCGTGGCCTGGCGGGAGTCGGCGGTGCGGCGATGGGTGCGCGCCATGGCCACCCTGCCATAGCAGTCGGCCCATCCCCCACAGTGTTAGCATTGAGAGCAGGGACCGACCGTCCCGGCACTCCTAGTCCTACCACGAAATTTTCTTATGACCTAAGAATGTTCGAATAACAAAAACAATGTTCTTAGAACACAATCCCAAAGTGTTAAAACAAGATAATTCCAGCCACAAATGTTCTAAGAACATTTCGTGGAAACCACAAACGGTTCTTAGGACATTATTTGGTAGGCCTATAGGCACGCCAGGACGCTTGGCCACTGCTTGTTACCAGGTCCCACGCAAGACGACGGCGGAAGAACGATATCGGGCTACGACGCTTCGGAGATCTCCGAGGAGCAGCGGGCTCCGAAAACTTGATGTGCACTTGGCCTGCCTGACTGCGGCCCAGAGTCTCTTGAGGTCTTCCTGAGCTATGCCGCTGGACTGGAGGTCTCCACAGGGCAACCAAGACGCGTCGAACAACCTCGAGCCTCGATTATCGAAGTTCGGCCCTTCGACCCAACGTGCCCCGCCGTGTTCCCAAACCCGCCTGCGCTGCCGACCGATAGCGGCGGCAACGACGACGGTGGCAGAGAAGAAGCCGACGACGCCGACAGAGACGGCGGCGGCAGCGGCGACGACGGCGGCAGCGACGACGACGACGACGGGGACGACGGGGGGCAGTCATAGCGACGTCTCCGGACCACGGCGGCGGGGGCGGCAGCCGCGGTGGCGGAGGCGGCAGTAGCGGCAACGTCGGCTGCGACGCCAGCAGCCGCGCCTGGCTGGCCAGGCCCTCCTAAGAAGAGAAAAAACCCACCCTCACAACAAGCACCCCGACAAGCGAAGCCGTTCAGTGAACGCACCCAGGGAAGGAATGGACCAGGGCAGCAGACGGCCAGGGCCGCTCAGAGCACGCCGCTTGTCGAGGTCGGGGTGTTTTTTTTGTTCCTCCCGGGATCCCCCGCCCGCGCTCCTCGGCGCCGCCGCCCTCCGCGGCGCCGCCGCCCTCCTCGGCGCCGCCGCCCCCCTCGCCATCGCCCTCCTCGGCGTCGCCGCCCTCCTCGGCGCCGCCGCCGCCCTCGGCGCCGCCGCCCTCCTCGGCGCCCGCCTCACCTCGGCGCCGCGGGGAATGCAGCGGGAGCAGCTGCAGGCGCGGTCGCCGCGCGCAGGCCGCCGTCGAGGGGGAGGAGGGCGGCCAAAAAGGGGAGAGGGACGGCCTTCCCTCCCCCTCCCTCCTCCTCCTCCTCCTCCTCCTCCTCCTCCTCCTCCTCCTCCTCCTCCTCCTCCTCCTCCTCCTACCCCCCCCCCCCTCCGCTGCGGCGGCAGGCACCGCTGTTCTGCGCCCCTCTCGGCGCCCACCATGTTTGTGCCCCGTGCTTCGCGTGCGTCCTTTTACCGCACGCGCCTCGTGCTGTCCACCATTGCGCTGAATCAATTTTGCTTGCACGCTCCAGACGCCCTGGCCGTGACACTTCATCATGCTTAACGACCGGGGAGAGAGGAAAGGGCGACGTGGGGAGGTTGCAGAGGGCGGGAGGGAGGGATACACGGGCAAGACGGCGGAGGAGGAACAGGAGCAGGGGGAATGAACGAGGGGAGGAGGAACAGGAAAAGGAGGAGGAGGAGCAGGAGGATAAGCATGCGGAGGAGGGACATGAGAAACAAGCTCCATGTTACGTGTCTGATCAACGTAACAAGGAGGAACAGGAGGAGGAGGAGGAAGAAGATGAGGAGCAGCAGAAGCAAGATCAGGACGAGGCAGACCGAACTATGGGAACCGGAGGGCGAAGGGGAGGGAAGGATGGGAGCAGGGAGGAAGCCAGAACAGACAACAAACACCATAGGAGGGGGGACGACGAGGATGAATGGGGAGGACGAGGCGGAGGACGAGGAGGAGGAGGAGGAGGAGGAGGAGGGGAAATGTGTCCTCCGCTGCGGCGCAGACAATTTGTCAACTCCTGCCTTCGTGGCGAACCGAGTCGATCTACGCCTTGTGCTTTGCCCATCTCCACGACCACCTCCAGGGCCAGGTTCCTCCGGATCCTGCGCGAACTCCTGCACCTGCGCCTGGGTCGCCATCGACGCCCTCTCGCAGTCGACGTGTGCCTGCACAGCCGCTGCCTCCATCTGGCACTCGCCGAGGGCCCACCCGAAGGCCACGTCGACCTCAGGTGGCTACACCTGCATGGCGAAATCGCTCGCGACGGACGTCCTTCACGAAGCCGACAGTCACCCCGTCGGTGACGAACAAGGCTGTTGGAGCGACGCTTCGCAAGAAAACGTCGGATGATCATTTCCGTGCCCAACAGGCTCAACGCCGACCTGTCCCTGCACGGGGTGCGGGTGCGCCTGCACGGCGCCGAGCACGAACCCGATCTTGCGCGGCACACGAGCGCGATGAGTTGGACGTGCGGGTCCTGCGCGACTTCGCGGACCTCCCCGTCTGCTCCACGCTGGCCGATGGGCAGAAGAGGGCCGCCGCCGAAAGCGAGGTGTGGGCCCCAAAAAACTGCGACAAACGCCGAGGTGAACGCCCGCATGCCGATGGCGGCGCGCGTCTGCCGACCCGGCACCGCGGTCGCGCTGCTGCTGGGGATGGCGATCCCTGCGGACGGTCCGCGGCACTGGCCGGCGACGATGGCCGCGGTGGCCGACGCGTGCCTGGTCCCGGGCTCGCAGTCGCGAGGCTGGCAAGGAAGATGCCAACAGGTGGTCGTGGAGGAGGGCGTGATGGCGAATGTGCTGAAACTCGCCGTGAAATTGGACGTGAAGATACGCTTGCTGACGCAGGCGGTGGTGCCCGCGCCCTGGCCGCCCCCCCGCGCGCGAGGGGCAGAGAGCGCAGTCGCTGGCGTGGGTTTGGCGCTGGTTTGAACCCTGCGCGGCGCGGGCGGGCGTCGTCGTCGTCGTTCGTTCGTCGCCCTCCTCGCGTGCTGGGTTCGGGAGCCGAGCTCGACGTCATGGACGGGTGGGTGGTTGGCGTGCTCGAGCTCGCGAAAGTCCCAGCTCTCCCCCCGCCGGCCGACCAGGAGCAGGAGCATGCCGAGGCGGAGGTGCTTCAAGTGGGGCCCTTGGCGCGCGGCATCGAAGAGTCGACGGCCAGATTCATGGATCGGTCCTGGCAAAGCGAGGAGCCCCACAGCGCCGTGAAGCAGGCGATGGGAGCGCGCTGGCGGCCTGGCAGCGCAGGAATGTGATCCCGCCGGTTTCTGCGCAATGACACTTGTTGATGATGAATGTGCAAATGCGGCGGTGAGAACGCGTGCAGGATCGGCGGAGAAGATCCTCGAGGCCCAACTAATCGTCATAGTCCGCGTCGCCCTCTGTGTTTGAAAGCGGGCTGCAGTAATTATCAGCGTACGCTTTTGAGGCATGAGATGCCGACAGTTTAGTTGCGAGTGCTGCGGCGCTCGTGGAGATTTTCGCGAAGGGATATTCGTATTACTGTTACCATTGTTCTTCAGGCTGCCAGCCTTCGTCTTCATGTTGGGCGTCGTTCCCCCGCAGTCGTGAGGCACCCCTCTTGTGGCGCCTTGCCGACTCGCGTCGGCTGCGCCAAATTCTGCTCCTCTTCCTCCTCCTCCTCCTCCTCCTCCTCCTCCACCTGCTCCTCCTCCTCCTCTCTTTCTCCACACCCTTCCTGCTCCCCCTCTTCCTCCGCCGTCTCCAAACCCGCTTCCCCCTCTCCATTTCGCCAGTCTCCTCCTCCTCCTCCTCCTCCTCCTGATCCTCCTCCTCCTCCTCCTCCTCCTCCTCCTCCTCCTCCTCCTCCTCCTCCTCCCCCTCCTCCTCCCCCTGCTCCGCCTCCTGTTCCTCCTCCTCCTCCTCCTCCTCCTCCTCCTGTGGCCCCTCCCCGCAGGGGCCGCGCGCGCCTTCGCCGCCCTCCTCGTCGCTCTCCTCCTCGCCCGCCCCGCGCTCCCCGGTCGTCTTCCACAGCCACACCTGGGGCACCTCCCTGCCCTCCTCGCGGAGTGGGGCGGCAGGCCGACCGCTGACGCAGGGGCTGACGGGCGGGGGCGGCGGGGGGAGGGGGAGGGGGCAAGCTGGGCGCGCGCGCCATATATCTGACATCCGCCCCCTCCCACCCACCCCTTTCCAGTGCGCCGATGTTCGTCTGTGTGCAAATCTTGTGTCCCAGCGGACCTGGGTTCTCCAAGCGGCCCCACCGGCGAGGTGCGCATCAGAAAGGGCAGCTCTGTGCATCGAATGAGGAGGAGGAGGCGGCGGAGGAACATGAGGATGTCTCTAACAATATCGGTTGTGCTGTTTAGGTGGAGCAACCTATGTGGTACATTCTGCGTGGTGCAATATCCGCCGATCCAGCGTGTGAGGTTCAAACAGCCTAAGCTGCAGCCTAGATCCTGATGTTCAGCTCAGCTGGGGGGGTGGGGGGGCCGGGGGGGCGCTGCCAGGGAAAGCGGGGGTGGGGAGCCCCCTGGTGCGCATGTACTCCGCTTTGCTCTGCACTCTTGGGGGGCCTGAGACACATCACAATGTACAACTCAGGACCTATGAGGCCCTACACGATCGCTGAACGATCGGGCCTAAGACGCCCAGGATAGCTTCAAGTCGGCCGCAAAAGCAGTTGGGGACCCCCCCATCCTGTAATCGATGGCCTCTAAGATGATCCCAAGAAGCCTTCCAGGGTTACCAGACAGGTTCCCAGAGGGCCCCCCAAACTCCCAGAGAGCACCAGCAGCAACAGCAGCAGCCGCAAGAATACCTCTAGATGGTTCCACGAGTCCTCGTCCGCGTCGTCCACATCCTACTCCTCGTCCTCCTCGTCCTCGTCCTCATCCGCGTCCTCGTCCTCCTCGTCCTCCTCCTCTTCCCCTCGCCCCCAAGCGGCACCCAGGGATGGCCCGAAGAGGCCTTCCAAGGCCACCCCCTTGCTCGATTTGTTTCCCAAAATGTGTCTCTTATGCCCTTTTCCCGTCAGCTCTGAAGGGCAGGGTGACTGAATGGTTTGTTCGCGAGCGCGCAGGGGTGCCAGGCGCCGTCAGGAACTTGTGGGGATATTTTTTGGGTCGCGGGCGGATGCGGATTCGCAGTCGCCGAGCTGAGAGGTCCGGGCCACGGGCCTGTCAAATTAGCAACGCGCAAGCCTAAAAGCGCAGCGGCCGAGCCCGCACTCAGAAACTACCGCCGGTGGGGCCGCGGGCTGATGGGGAGCTGGCTGAGCTGACTGCAAACGGCCAGGGTAGCTGATGCACCATGCGAGTGGACAAGGGGGAAGTCCGTCCTTCCGCCCCAAGATGCCCCCTCGAGGTCCCAAGGAACCCCCCAGAGCTCCCAAGAGAGTCCCATGACGCCCCCAAAACGCCCCAGAGGCTCCAAAACGGCGCCCACTAGCCCACGAGCCTCTCAGAGGACCCACCATCGCCCACAACCCAGGCACGGTGGCAGAGTGGGCCGAAGGTCATTGGATAATGCCCACAGTGCCCCAACTCAGCTCTCCCCTCTAGAACAATGCAGGACAACGGAAAGGGGGCGGGGTAAGGAAAAAATAAAGAGCCCATAAAGGACGCACGCGCCCAACCATGTACATGAATACGGCCCCATCGATCCGCGAGACCCGCCGCGTGATACGAACATTCGCGCAATGCGTACTTTCGAGAGCAGCGTGGACTCACCTACGAATGCGTACTTCTCTCGCTCCTAAAGAAGGGCGAAGAAAGAAGAGCCCGCTGCCGCCTACGTACTCTTCTGCCGCACCAAGTTTCCAGCTCCCGCCAGATCGGCGGCATTGGCTGGATGCCATTGCAGCATTGTGTGAATATTACGTTGTGCAGTATATGTTGTGTCATCGTTGTGGCGCCATTGTTGTTGCCAGGCCAGGACGATGGCCCGAGAGAGACTCGCCATACCTCGGACGTCCATTGCCCGTGTATGTCTCGAGTACGTGCGTTTACGTTTCGAAAATGCTCGAAGATATTCGAAGATGTTCCTCAACTGTCCTCGCCTAAGAAAAATGCACACGTCCGAGCGATGCCACGGGGCGAAAGTAGGAGGAGGAGGAGGAGGAGGAGGAGGGGGAGAAGAAAAGAGCAGGACGGAGGAGTGTTGGGCACAGCAGCCCAAGGTGGCTGCCATGGCGCGCAGGATGAGACGAACGAGAACGGAGGATGCCCAGCGCAAGACATAGTAAGTTCTAGCGACACGTGTCTTAAGGACGGCTGTCACGGACGCAAGGTGGTAGTAGACGTAGTAGTTGTAAAAATAGTAGTAGTCGAAATAGTGGTAGTCTTAGTAATAGTAGTAGTCGTAGTAGTAGTAGTAGTAGTAGTAGTAGTAGTAGTAATAATAGTAGAATTAGAATTAGAATTAGTCGTAGTAGCCGTCGTCGTCGCCGCCGTCGTCGTCGTGGTCGCCGGGCGTAGTAGTAGTAGTAGTAGTAGTAGTAGTAGTCATGGTGGTAGGAGTAGTAGTAGTAGTAGTAGTAGTAGTAGTTAGTTAGTTAGTTCGTTAGTAAGTAAGTTAGTTAGTTAGTTAGTTAGTTAGTTAGTTAGTTAGTAGTACTAGTAGTAGTAGTCGTCGTCGTCGCAGTAGTAAAAATATTGGTACTAGTATTGTTTCGTAGTGGTAGAACTAGTAGTAGTAGTAGTAGTAGTAGTTGTTGTTGTAGTAGTAATAGTGTTCCTAGTCGTAGAAGTCGTAGTAGTCGTAGTTATGCTGTGAAGTAGTAGTAGTAGTAGAAGTAGTCGTAGTAGTAGTAGTAGTAGTAGTCGTAGTAGCAGAAGTAATTGTAGTAGGAGTAGTAGGAACAATAGTCAACGAAATAGTCGTAGTCGTCGTGGCAGCCGTAATAGACCTGGTAGCAGTCGTCGTAGTAATATTACTAGTCGTAGCAGTTGTAGTCGTAGTCGTAGCCGTAGTAGTCGCAATCGTAAAATGAAGGTCGTAGCCGTAGTCGTAGTCGTAGGCGTAGTCGTAGTCATAGACGTACTAGTAATAGTAGCAGTAGCAGTGGCGGAAATCGATGTAGTAGTAGTGGTCGGAGGTCCAGGAGTAGTAGTAGTAGTAGTAGTAGTAGTAGTAGTAGTAGTAGCCGTAGTAGTAGTAGCAGTAGTAGTAGTAGTTGTAGTAGTCGTAGTAATATATATTAGTAGTAGTAGTAGTAACCGTAGTAGTACTTATTATAGTAGTAGTAGTAGTAGTAGTACTAGTAGTACAAGTAGTAGTAGTAGTAGTAGTAGTAGTAGTAGTAGTGGTAGTACTGGTAGTAGAAGCGGCAGTGGTAGAGGTAGTGGTAGTAGTGGTAGTGTTTGATAATAGGCATAGTAGTCGCATAACTAGTAGGAATAGTGTTAATCGTAGGAGAAGTAGTAGTAGTACTAGTAGTAGTAGTAGTGATAGTAGGAAAAGATGTAGCACAAGTAGTAGCAAACGTAATCGTAACGGTAGTAGTGGTAATACTAGTAGTGGTGGTGGTAGTGGTAGTGGTAGTGGTAGTAGTAGTAGTCGTAGTCGTAGTCGTAGTAGTAGTGGTAGTAGTAGTAGTAGTAGTAGTAGTAGTAGTGGTAGTAGTAGTAGTAGTTGTAGTAGTAGTAGTATGGAGTAGTAGTAATAGTAGCAGCAGTAGTAGTAATACTAATAGTCGTAGCAGTAGTGGTAGTGTGTAGTAGTACGAGTAGAAAAGGCAGTACGAGTCGTTCTAGTGGGCGTAGTCGCAGTAGTAGTAGCAGTAGTAGTAGTAGTAGTAGTAGTAGTGGTGGTGGTAGGGGTCGAAGACGAGGAGTAGTAATAGGAGCAGTAGTAGTAGTAGTACTGGCAGTAGTGGTAGAAGTAGTGGTAGTACCAGCAGCTGTTTTAGCAACACTAGTATTCACAACAAGAAAATGAATGTTCGCAGTAGGTCGCGATAGCAGTAGTGGCTGTAACCGTAGTGGTTGTAATCGTGGTAGTAGCCGTAGTAGTTGTAGTAGTAGTAGTAGTAGTAGTAGTAGTGGGAGTAGTAGTAGTAGTAGTAGTAGTAGTAGTAGTAGTGGTAGTAGTAGTAGTAGTAGTAGTAGTAGTGGTAGTAGTGGTAGTCGTGCTAGTAGAAGTAGTAACACTCGTTCCAATAGTCGACGTAGTAGTAGTATTCATAACCGTAGTCGTAGTAGTCGTCGTCGTTGTAATAGTAGTACTGGTGGTAGTAGTAGTCGTAGTAGTAGTAGTAGCAGTAGTAGTAGTAGTAGTCGTAGTAGTAGTCGTAGTAGTAGTAGTAGTAGTAGTAGTAGTAGTAGTAGTAGTAGTCGTAGTAGTAGTAGTAGTCGTCGTAGTAGTAGTAGTAGTAGTAGGAGTAGTAGTAGTAGTAGTAGTTACTACTACTACTACTACTTACTACTACTACTACTACGAGTGGTAGTAGTAGCAGTAGTAGTCGTCGTCGCCGTCGTCGTCGAAACAGTAATAGTAGTAGTCGTAGTAGTAGTAGTAGTAGTAGTCGTCGCCGTAGTCGTAGACGTAGTCGTAAACGTCGCCGTAGTTCTAGTCGTAGTCCTGGGTCATAGCGTGGCAAAAGTTGCACGAGGAGTTGTCTCAATCGTAGTCGTGGCAATAATCTTAGCAATTGAAGACGTAACAGTCGCAGTGTCGGAGTAGCCGCAGTGAGAGAAAAGAGAGGAAAGAGGGAGGGAGGGAGGAGGAAAGGGAAAGAGAAAACGCGACAATATGAAGAGATTGAAGTTGAAGAGAGGGCGGAGGTTGAAGGGAAAGAGGAAGAGAGGGAGGAAAAGGGGGGAAGGAAGGAGGGAGGATGGAGGAGGAGCGTCGCCAGCTCCTGGGGCTCGATGTCGAGCTTCCTGACCTCGCACCAGTACCTCTTGCGGCACAGCTGGATCAGCGTGTTGACCTAGGAGCACAACGCCAGTGGCCCTCGCCTCCGTCTTGCAAAGAGCTCCCCGAGGGCGAAGGGGGGAGGGGGAAGGAGGATGATGAGGAGGTGCAAGAAGAGATGGGGGAGGACAGAGAGGAGCAGGAGGAGGGGGAGGAGAGGGGGGGGTGGAGCAGGAAGAGCAGGAGGAAGGAGGCAGAGGAGGAGGAGGAGGAGGAAGCAGGACATCCATGCAAAGACAGAAAATAGTCAGGGTACGTACCCGCCTGGCTCCCTGCGCCCCGGCACGGGGGGGCCGGGGCAGGAGGAGGGGGGAGGGCGGGGGGAAGGAGGAGCAGAGGAGCAAGCAGCACAACCCACCCTTCAAAGGTACCGCGCAGACTGCTTGGCTTGGCGCCGGGCCTGCTCGGCGGCGCCTGGTGTCCGGCATCTTCGCGCGGGGGGTTGCGGCGGCGGCCCCAGAAGTCCGCGCGGCCTTCCGAAGGCTCAGCGCTTGCGCTGAATTTTCCTCCTTGACCAAAGAGGCGTACAGGGCAGTTTTTAATACATGGGATTTTTTTAATATTGGATTTTTCATACATGCTAACTTTATAATTAAATTTATGCATGGACTCATGCTTGTTTTTAACGCAAGATCCCTATATTGTTCAACGCATGATCCGCACGCAGAGCATGTATTAAAAACTGCCCTGTAAGATGATGGGTAACAAAAGTGATACCGCTACTCCCCAGACCTCTCCCAAGTTGCGTTCTGATCAGAACTTCGTCATTCGCAAACCCCACGAAGCCTGGAGTAGGGTCGACACATCCCCTGTTCAGAATTCAGACAAAACCTCCGCGGCCCAAGAGCCAGGGTAGAAGTACAGTCGGACCTAGACCGGAAGAACACCCTTCAAGAACATGAGACCCTCCGTCGGCCAAAACAAACAGAACATCCAAGGGTGCCCTCCCCAGGATGGTGCGCTGTACGGGTAACCTCTGTGCGGCGTTAAGTGCTTCATCGTCGCAAGTAGCCCGGCCCCTGGCAGCATCACATTCGCGTTATGTTTCGACACTTGGACGCTCTAGCATGTGCAACTGCGCTTTGGTCATCGTTGGCCACACGCCCGTGTGATAGAGCAAATGGCCAGCCGCAAAAGTGGCTAACTATTGAACCTGGTGTTTTATGTCAACGCTACGCAACCTTTTGCAGGCCCTTACGATTGGCAGAGACGCTGCCCTAAACTTCTGCGTCGATCGTGCAATACGTGGCCCAAGGTTGGCCAAAGCATCAACTGGCATGCCTCAGTACACGTACGGGCCCTCGATAATAATGGGTCGGCCCTCCAATCGCTCGACACCAGCTTTGACACCCTCGTGTATAGATTTGGGAATGCAGAAAGCGGATACCAGGCCCATTGAGAGATTAGCATGCTGCGTCTGGACCTTTTGTTATTCGCTGTGAAGCCATGGACCAGCATGGAGTGGTGGATGGTATCGGCCATCATGTCCGCCACTGGAAGAAGCTCGTCAACATCGTCAAGGGCGCCGAAAAACAATGCGCCGTCGACGAACGACATGTCCAGTATATCCTTACACTCGGTGCCTCGCGGGAGAATTTGACAATCTGGTGGTCACGACATGTCCAAATTGCCCGTGCGTCCTCTCAGCTTGTCATTGATGATGGCAAGCGGTCGACTGACTGTGATGTTGAAGACCGCGTCAGCCAAAGAGCTGCCAGGTCGACTACCTCGGCGTGCACCGGAAAGTTTGCCGGAGCTCTCTGTACTGAAGTAGGTGCAACGGTGTGCGATGGCATGGGGGTCCGAACTGAATAATGCCAGGTTGGATGAACAACACGTCATGATTGGCATGAGCCTAATCGGAATCTCATGCTCGGATGTGATATAGCTCTCGTCGTCGTCTCAGGTTACAACACTGAAAGCCAGCTGCCTTCGGGTCATGCAGAACGCCGACTTCAGATCCACGCGGTATAAAGATGGCGCTTCTTCCCTGCGACTTTGCCATTCAATGAAAGACGAAACTGCCTGACGCAACTGGCGGGTACTCATTCCTGCCCGTTCACCGCATTGAGTGCTCCGCCATATGCAATTGACAAACTGGACCAGCTGGGAACGAAGCGTGCGGTGCAATACTTTCAGGATGAGAGGGATGTTTTGGTAGTGGTCCAGAATGAATGACGAGCCAGAGCCTTTGAAGGGGGGAAGATATACCGTTCTGCACTTCCACCAAACAAGCTCCTCTTGATAAAACATTCATGTTGGCAGAACAGAAGAACGTAAAGTCGTGCCAGCACTGCTGGATCTAGCCGTACAACGTTTTCTTCAGACTCCGTCTTGTCCACCAACGTTTTTCTAGATGCCGTACGGAAGGCTCTAGCTATCTCCGCCACCCCTGGAACAAATGACGGATTGATCTGGCTGGCAATGACGTTGTGAATGAGGTGTGTAGTTTACCTGGCATCGTTAATCTTGGCCGAATGTTCAAGAATAGCACGTGGCTTACACACATCGTCCCCCTCCCGCTCCCCCTGCCCCTCCTTCTCCTCCTCCTCCTCCTCCTCCTTCTCCTCCTCCTCCTCCTCCTCTTCCTCCTCCTCCTCCTCCTCGTCCTCCTCCTCCTCCTCCTTCTCCTCCTCTCCTCCTCCCCCTCCTCCTCCTCCTCCTCCTCCTCCTCCTCCTCCTCCTCCCCCTCCTCCTCGTCCTCCTCCTCCTCGACCTCTTCTTCCCTCTCCTCCTCCTCCAGTCGGAAGGGGGGGAGAAGTGGGTCCCGAGGGCCACGGGCCCGGGACCCCGGGGCCTTCCCCCCAGGGTCCGTGCTTCCCCCTGAGTCGTCTTCTGGCGGGCCCCGGGGGGAGGCCCATTACCATGCAGCCTCGAACGTATCCCTATCCCTAAGATTGACACGCCAAAGGGCGATGACAGTCTTAGGGAGTCGCCCTCAAGAAATAAGGGAATCCCTGAGATTGGCATCGTGATGAGGAGGTGCCCAGCATAGGTATAGGGACATGTTCCAGGCTGGTAAGCCCAGGCACGGCGAGACAGACCTCGGCACCCAGCGTCCCTCAACACCCGCTCCCCCCACGGGCGGGTCCTGGCCTCCTGGCCCCGTGAGCCAAGAATCCACTCTCCTGAGAATGTGAAGGGGCCCAGGGACACACAGATAAATGCACACACAAATAACAAGATTCCCAATATTTTCCCATGCTTTCTGGGTTTCTGTCTCCCCCCCCCCACTTCCCATGTTTTCCCATATGTTCTGGGGAATCGACGATTGATTGTGTCTGTGTGTTTTTTTCCTTCCTGAGAATCACCCTGGCACGCGAAGTCCTCTAGCAGACGCACCCAAGAGAAAGCATCAGACAGGGCAGGGCTGTTTCGTAGACGCCTTCAAAGCGCCAGTCGTCGGGTCTGGGTGGTTTTTCCTCCCTTGATGGCCACCCCCCCCAGACCCTCGACGTCATGATTTTTTCATGACGTCGATCCCCAGAGGTCTGGACCCATTCCCCAGCACGGAATTCTCATCCTGAGTCGCTCTTGACGGTCCTGGGGCCCGGGAAGGGCCCCCAAAGGCCGAGAATACAACAAAAACCTCCCGTGGTGCTTTTTTGTCACAGCGCGAAGGGGGTCTTAGTGGGAAAAAAACATCACATAAACATAAAAACTCGGAGCTCCGCGCGGATTTCTCGGATCGGCGCTGGGGCCCCCCGGCGGCGCCTCCGGCGCCGCCCCTGGCGCGCTCCGCGCGCCAGGGAGGGGGGGTCCAGCGCCGATCCGAGAAATCCGCGCGGAGCTCCGAGTTCTTATGTTTATGTCACTTTTTGTTCCCCCACGTCTGGCCCCCGCGCCGACCTCGCGCATCGTGCTCCGCCACACCACGTTCTCGGGGTCCGTGCCCCAGGACGTCCGCAGGCTGCAGCGCGCGTGCGCCGCCTCCGCGCCTGGCGGCACACCGCGCGGCATACCGCGCCCGCCGCGGGCGGCGGCGGCGGCGGGGGGGGCGGCGAGGCCCTCCTCCTCCTCCTCCTCCTCCTCCTCCTCCTCCTCCTCCTCCGCCCTCCTCCTCCTCCTTTTCCTCCTCCTCCTCCTCCTCCTCCTCCTCCTCCTCCTCCTCCTGACATCGCTCAGACGTCCATTCCTTCCCCGTGCACTCTTCGGCCCCGCGCGTGCTTTTTCTTCGCAGGGTGCTCCAGGAGGCTCCTCGACGGTTCTCGCCGAGACAGCCGTACGTGCCCGAGCGATGCCGAGAGGCGGGGATGTGTCTAGAACCGCTGCCTGCGCCCGAGCAGTCGCCGCCCGCGCGCCCGCCCGGCGGCGCGCAGCGGGGGGTACCCTGGCTCCGTGTTACCCTGTTCGTTGGGCCTCCTTGGTGTCCCTCGTCGCCACCGCTGGGCTCAGCTCGGAAGCCTGGCCAGAACGCGCACCGGGAGAGGTCCGGGGAGTAGGGGGGACGGCTTCTCAGACGCAGGCTGCTCCTTCGAGGGCGCCAGCCTTACATCTATGGACAAGGCCCGCACCTTCTAAGAAGCAGGGGTGCTTCTTAGACGCCTTCCCCCCTCCCCCCAACCCCCCCTTCTGCGCGCGGCCGGACTGCTCTTCCCGGTCTCAGTTGCGGGCGTCGCACGGGGGGGAGGGGGGGGGCCGAGGGCCCTCCGGGAAGGCGCCCAGGGGTCTGCGACCGTGTGGGGACCCCACACGAGGAGGAGGAGGAGGAGGAGGAGGAGGAGGCGGAGGAGGAGGAGGAGGAGGAGGAGGAGGAGGAGGAGGAGGAGGAGGAGGAGGCGGAGGAGGAGGAGGAGGAGGAGGAGGAGGAGGAGGAGGCGGGGGGGGCAAGAACGAGATCGACGGCGCCCCTCCGTGGGGGGAGGCCAGCGGCGCGCCGCTGCCGAAGAGAAGCACGAGGGCCCTCGGGGGCAGCGCCGGAGGAGCAGGACGCCGGCGGGCGCCCAACGGCGGCGGGCTGTTGGTACTCTTCCGAAGGGGCCCAGGGACACACACAAATAAATACACACACACACACAAATCAATACACAGGAAGAACAGGATTCCCCATATTCTCCCATATTTGCCGGATTTTCGCATCTTTTCCAGGGAATCGACGATGAATTGTGTCTGCGTGCTTTTTCCCCTCCTGATCTTCACCTGTGTGTTTTGTCCCCTCCTGATCTTCACCCACGCCGACTCCGACCTCTGGAGAAGCGGCTGGGGTTCAGAGCCTGAAGGATGCCTGCAACCAAGCTGCCCCAGCGGGGGGTTCCAATACCCCAGCGCCGGTTGGACGAAGGATTGCAAAAAAACCCAGGATCGCAAAAAAACTTAGGATTGCAAAAAAACCCAGGATTGCAAAAAAAACCCAGGATTGCAAAAAAAACCAGGATTGCAATCCTTCGTAGGGGTAGGGTTGGCAAAACGGTCGCAGAAAGGGTGGGCCCAAGGGCTGTCAAGCCCAAATGAACCGCTCCGGCCCCGCCCGGACAGTGGATGCGGGTTGTCCCGACGGTCGTCCCTATGGTTGTCCGATGGCTGTTCCCGTGGTCGTCCCGACGACTGTCCCGAGGGCCATCCGGACGACCCGACGGTGGTCCAAACGGTTGTCCCGCTGGGTGTCCCGATGGTTGTCCTGATGGTTGGTCCAACGGTTGTCCCGATAGTTGTTCCACAGTTATGCGAGGCCGTGGTATTTCAAACATGCGCTCTGCGAGGCCATCCTACAAGAAAAAGACCATCTGCGAGGACATAATGCAAACATGCGATCTGCAATGCAATACTAGCGAAATGCAATGTAGGATGCCATAAAACCAAATGTTCGCGAGCGTAATCTAGGTGGTGCAATACATACGGTGCAATCGATGTGTTTCAAGCAATAGAAGACAATGCAAAACAATGGAACACAATGCAAAGCTATGCAACGCAATGCAAAGTAGTTATGTGCAAAGCACCGCAATGTAAAGCAAAGCAAATACCAACAATGCGAAGACATGCACAGAACAACAGTACAAAGCAATGCGCCACTATACACCGCACCGCAATGCACCGCAGCGCAGAGCAATGCAAAGCACTGCAGTGCAAAGCAATGCGAAGCAATGACAGGTAGTGCAAAGCAATGCTAAGCGAGGCGACGCAACGCACAACAATGCAGTGCAATTGAAGGGAAACTGGGACACACAAATAAATAGACACACGAATAAGAGGATTCCCCATATTTTCCCATATTTTCTGGGTTTCTCTCTTCCCGCCCAATTCCCATATTTTCCTATATGTTCATATATTTTCCTGGGAGCCGACGATTAATTGTGTCTGTGTGTTTTTGTTCCCTCCTGAGCAATGCAGGGCAAAGCTACGCGGTGCGATTGCAAAGTGCCATGCCGTGCAGAGGCGCCGGGCGGCAACGTCGCCGCGGGGGCCGCAAGCGCGTCTTCTCTTGCGGCGGGAAACAATGTTGGAGGCCTGGAAATAGGCACCAACACTAAGACGGGGGGCTGCCTCCACAGGGTAGAGATGATCCCAGATTTCGGTGTTGGTGGTAATCTTTCGGTCACCTTGAAGCCAGAATATTACCACCATCGCCGAGATCGGGATCTTCTTTCCACGGTGGAGGAGCACCGCCGATATTGGTGTTGGTGGCAACCTCTAGGCCTGCGACAATGGTGTGTGCACGGACGGACGGGAGAAGAGAGGGGCCGCCGGGGCCGCGATCGGGCCCAGAGCCCGAGAAGCGCAGCAGGAGCCCCGAACGCAGACACGGCCTGGCGAAGCATGCGCTGTGCAGGGTCCGCATGCACATACACACCAGCACCGTACAGGAGAACGCGCCCTGAGGGGGGCGACAGTGTGACAAAACACGGCCTCTGCGGGGTGTATGATGCACGCACACGTAACGCGCCCTGCGGAGCAGAGCCCGTCGGGCTGCGGAGCAAGCATGGCCGTGCGTGGCGCGCACCTGGGAACCACGCGTCCGCCACATCGCCACGGAGCCATGGCCCCACCAGCTCTCTGGGCCGAGGTGGTCTAGGGAGCTTTCTCTTCCAGCCGCCCTCCCTCGGGGGTTGGATTTACCCCTCCCTCTTGCCCACCCCCCTGGACTTGGACGGGGGGGGGTCGCGCGAGGGGTTCGAGCGACCAAGATGGCCGAAGACAGCTCCAAGAGCGTCTCAGAAGAGCCGAAGATGACCTCAAATATGGTTCAAGACTCCCAAGAGCCACGGAGCCTCCCCTGGCGGCCCCCAAGAGACCGAAACCCTTTAAACACCTGAGGAACATCAATGTGGTTTACATTCTCGCCTTTTCGCTGCCGATGGCCATCCGAGGCCTCAGGATGGTCCCAAGATGGCCCAAGAGGGCCCTCCAAGATGGCCCCAAGAGCGCTCCACGAGCACCCCAAGAGGCAATTTTAGGCAAGGTTAATTGAAGTTCCCCTCATGTTTGAACGATGCCTTCCAAGATGGCCCCAAGAACACCCGTAAAGCTCCCAAGAGCGCCCCAAGAGGGACCCAAGAGGCGCCCCAAGAGGGACCCAAGAGGCGCCCAGACGGGCCTCCAAGAGGCCCCCAAGGGACACCCAAGAGGACTCAAGAGGATCCCCGATGCACCAGACGCTCAGAGACGGCCTGAGCCCGCCAAGATGCCCCCCCCAGACGCCCCAAGAGGCCTCCAACAAGTTCCAAGAGACATCCGAGGAGACTCCAAAAGGCATTCAAGAGGTTTCTGGCACTTCTGTTCGACCTGTTCCTCTTGGGTTCCTCCTCCTCCTCCTCGTCCTCCTTCTCCTCATGTTCCTCTTCCATTTCCTCCTCCTCCTCCTCCTCCCCCTCCTCCTCCTTCTCCTCCTCATTGTTCCTACGCTTCGTTGGTCGTCTCAACTCGCGTGGGCGTCGGTTTTTGATGGGTTCGTAGGGATACTTGTTGGTCGCGAGCGTAGCGGAAGTACCGAACGTCGTCCGAAAGTCGCAACAAACTAGCTACGGCATAAATTGCGCAATCAGGTTGGTAGGGATACTTTTTGTCGCAGCTGCAGGCCAAGGGGCCGACAGCGTCGGCAGAGTTAGCTCGGGCTACGAGTAACCTAATTGCTGGCGCGCGCGCCGATCTAGCAGGCTAAACCTACCGCCGAGGGAAGCAGCTGCGCCGAGGCTGAGCTGCGCCGAGGGGAGAAGCTGCCTGCTGCGGAGGCGGCTGGGATGCTGCAGCGTGCGAGTACCATGGGAGCTGAATCGCCAGGCACGAGAATTAGGCCTCGTCGCCACCGGGCGCCAACCGCCAGGTGACACGCCAGGCCGCACAAGAAGGCTGAACCACTCCTGAAAGACACAGCGGGCCAGTACCCCAGGTGGCCAGCTGACAACCAGAACCAGGGAAGTGCGAGCACTGCCGGCCGGCACTGGTCAGAACGCGCGGAACCTGAACGCCAGGGCTTACTCGGTACCACGGAACAGAGAGAAGGCCGGAAGCCAGGTGACGGGCGCCTCCACCGAGGCTGAGGAGGACGGAGCCCAGTGGCAGTGGCGGAGTGGGAGCCAGACACGGCCAAGCCGGGCGGTGTCACGGGACCAGGGCCTCAGGGAGTGCAAGCACAAGCCTCGGCACTGGTCAAGACGCGTGAGTCGAGGACGTCACGAAAGGGCCAGTGTGAGGGTAACCACGCCAGGCCGTGGCGGGGTCCGGGCAAAGACCAAAAAGGAAACAGCTTGATGACGGCCAAGGCCGTAAGGCACGTCGCGCCCCGCCCAGGCGGATACAGCGTGCCCGGTATTGACGGCGACTGGGGGCCAGCTCCCCAAGGGCGGGGAGACCGAGCCAGAGGCAGAGGCAGGGGCCGACACGGAGCGACCCTGGCCCGTCAACGGGGAACTGGACCGCGTGCGGTGAAGGCCGGGGGTGGCCGATGCCGTGGGACCGAGCCAGGCATGGTAGGGATACATTTTTTGGTCAGCGGCCACGAGACAGCGGTCAGGTGGCGAAGGCAACGTCCGGGCCACGGGCGAGGCTAATTTGCTAAAACAGAAACGCGGCCGGCCAGAGTAGGCTGACGTACTGCTAGCACGGGCACGTGCACTATGGTAGGGATACGCGAAGCGTCAGTCATTTTCCTCCACCTCCTCCCCCTCTTCATCTCGTACTGGTCCGCCCCACCCGACTTTCCCCCTCCTCACACTCCGCCTCTTGCGTCGAGTCCACATCCTCCTTTTCATCATCCACCTCCACCTCTGTCATCCTCCTCCTCCTCCTCCAGTTCCTGCTCCTGCTCCTGCTCCTGCTCCTGCTCCTGCTCCTGCTCCTCCTCCTCCTCCTCCTCCTCGCCCCGGAGCGCCCCCTCCCTCAACAGCTGGACGCCTCGAGGCCCGCAAGGGACAGCCTCCGGGCCGCCCCCCCCCCCCCCCCCCCCCCCCCTTGGGCCTTCGCAGAAGTCCCCGTGCTCCCCGTTCTTGAGCACCTGAGGCCGTGGTACAGTCATCCCGTAGAATGAAGGACGCATGTTACCAGCCTGGAACATATCCCTATCCCTATGTTGGGCATCGCCTCATCACGATGGCGATCTTAGGGATGTCCTGAGTTTCTGAGGGTATATCCCTAAGATTGTCATCTCCTTTTAGCGTGTAAATCTTTTGGGGATAGGGCTACGTTCGAGGCTGGCGAGCATGGCACGGATGCATCGGCGGCGAGCGAGGGCGAGCGGAGCTTCCCAGCAGCCCTCCAGCCCTCTGGGAAATTGTTGGCGCTTTTGGGGAATGCTTCGAAAACTTCTCAGAAAGCCGGGGGGCTTCCGAGCCTTCCGACAAGCCTTCCGGCATGAAGCCGAGCGCTTGAAACGAACGTTTGGAGCAAAACTGGTGCCAAACGAAAACGGCACCGAAACGAAATACACCGCAACAATAGCCAAACACGGAACAAAAAACTAAACAAGGGCCCAAACCAAGCTAAACAGCGTTGTGCTCAGTCCCTGAAGATGATCCAATCTACGTTAGCCTTGACCAGCAGGCGAAACTTCGAACAGCCAGAGAAAGTACCGGAACTGTGAAGCTGTCAAGTGCCGGGCCCTGGGAGGCCATACCCATTCGACACTGCACTGGCGGGTCGGGCATACACTGTTTCGATACTCTTCTGGGTGTTCACAATTACATCTGGGATGTGGTCCTTATACACGATGGAAACAACATACTGCTCGCTAAGAAAACCTGCTTCTAGTGTCTAGTGGATTCAAAGAGCTCGTTGCCACGAGGACAGTGTCGTGCCGCCCAGGTCCCCACGGCGCCGATCGCAAACCACAACCCGGCGTAACCATACCTTTTGTAGTCACCGACCCTCATCCTCCCTCCCTCTGTCCCTGCGCGTTCCATCTACAGTCGGACCTAGGCCAGGATAACATCCCTCAAGAAGATGAGACCCTCCGTCGACTCAAGCACGCAGAACATCCATGGGTACCCTCCTGAGGGTGCACGAGAACGTTCAACACACACGACGAATACTAGGGTACCCTCCTCGAACCGACCTCGATCCTATGCCTCGGTCCGACTGTATGTGGGGGAGCACCACGCGGATCGTCCACTCGCCGGGGGTGAGCGAGTCGGTGCCGGGCCAGCCCCTCAGCGCGCATTGCACGAACTGGAAGTTCAGGGCTTCGGTCCACACCTGCGCCGAGGGGGCGAGGGGGAGGAGAGGAAGGGGGAGGAGGGGGAACATGAGGATGACGAGGAGGGAGACGACGAGCAGCATCGAGGACCGAGGCCTTCGATATGAACGACCTTCTTGCCACTCCGGAGGAAAAGATATGCCGAATGGAGGTAGGGGTGAACAAACAAACGCATGCTTGCCAACACGTGAATGCCGACCGTTTAAAGTTCGCATAACTCGGGCTTCCCAGTGAGTAAGAGGGAGAAATATTTGTGTAGAAGGTTTGCGCATGAACCGTGGAGGGCTTCAGGGCTTCCAAATCATGCTACTCCTGATATATCCCTCTGCCAGAATGACCCTCCGTTTGCTCCTCCTCCTCCTCCTCCTCCTCCTCCATTCCTTTTCCTTATAAATAACTTCTCCCTGTCAAAACCGAGGCCAATTTTGAGGACGGGCCGGGCGTTTCGCATGAGACTTCCTCACCATGACCCTGAAGCTTAAACATTCGCAGCAGTTTCACGGATTGAGGGCGGGTCGTTTTCAAAATGAAGCTCTCGCCTCAGCGCCGCGCACATTCGTTTTACAAAAATAGAAAGAGTTTCACGGACTGAGAGCGGGTCGTTTACAAAATGTGGCTCTCGCCTTAGCGCCGCGCACATTCTCTTTAAACCCTTGCAAGAGTTTCACGAATTGAGGGCGGGTGGTCTTCAAAATGTGGATCTCGCCGTAGCGCCGTACACATTCGTTTCTTCAAAAATGCAAGAGTTTCACGGATTGAGGGCGGGTGGTTTCCAAAATGTGGCTCTCGCCTTAGCGCCGTACACATTCGTTTCTTACAAAAATGCAGAGAGTTTCACGGGTTGAGGGCGGGTGGTTTCCAAAATGTGGCTCTCGCCTTAGCGCCGCGCGTATTCGGTTGAAACATTGGCCGAAAGCTTGACGGGTTGAAGGCGGGTCGTTTTCAAAATGTGGCTCTCGCCTTAGCGCCGCGCACATTCTGGTTACACATTTGCAAGAGTTTTGCGGAATCCCATGGTCGCCGTACCAGAAATGGCGTTCTGCACGGATTCACGATTTTGAGGGCGCAACAGTTACGATGATTCGCGGAGTTGAGGTCCCAGGAATGGCGTTCTGGCACTATTCCAGGTCGTCAAAACGCAACAATCAGGTTCATCCGTGGCGTTGGAATACGGAGAATCATGTTTTGGCATGCTGCAGGGTCTTCAAACGGTTGACTTCCAACGAGGCAGTTCCCTCTGTGGAAATGTACTGTTGTAGGGGCCTGTGAAGAGGGAGCTCGGGAAGAGGGTTTACTCCAAGATCGTTGGTGACTCTTGGGTTTACATTGGTCCTCCTCCTCCTCCTCCTGAACATGCACACGTCCCAGCGATGCCAGGTCCTTACAGGATGAGGGTCGGTGATCGCGATGTTTGAATGCTGCTGACTCTGTGGGGGGAAACTGCGGAGGCCTCCAGAGGAAGCGGGCGGAAGAGATTGCCGGGAGGCGGAGGGCCACGGGGGGAGGATGGGGAGGAGGGAGAGGGGAGGATGATGATGCCCGCGGGGTAAGGCGGCTGTGTCGATCCACAACCACCCCCGTGCGCGCCCCCGCGCGCGCCCTCGCCTCGGCGCGGTCACGCGCCCGAGGCCGTCTGGCAGGAGGAGGGAGAGGGGAGGACGGGGAGGATGGGGAGGATAGGAGAGGGCGGAGTTCTCTGAAGCGTTCTATTTGGGGCTCTGGCGAGCGATCTGGGGCTCTAAGAGGGGGGTGCTTCAGGAAGGCTCGCAGGAGGAGGAGGAGAGGGAGCATCTTCTCCCCCTCTCCTCGCCAGGTCTGCAGTGGCCCGGGTGCTACCCCAATCAGCATGCGCAAGTGAGCTGTGGGCTCAGGCGAAGCGGGGGGTGGCGTCGGACGGCGACCGAACAAACGGCCGCAAGGCGTATCAGGGCCCGCCGGGGAGCAGTTCCTCGGGAGCCACAGCACAGGACTTGGCCCGCTCGCGGGCCAGGGAATTTGGAGATGTTTTCCGAATTTCTTTATGATCTGGGCCAAGCCCCCACCAACGGAAACGAAAACGGTACAAGAACGGCGCCGGAAGCGCAACAAGAAACAGAGGAACGATCCTGGCGAAGGACCCAAGCACAAATGCAATTGTGAGTATCGCCGTTGTGGGTATCACCTTCGGTGGATCTCCTTGTGGGGCCACGAAGCGTGCAAGTGGTGCCCCGAAATGAAGCGGGGCCTCCATTCGGGCACTCCTACTGAGACCTGAGGTAGACACCCCCATGGGGCCACGAAACGTGTGAGGGGTGTGCCGAAATGGGGCGGGGCGGACTCATGCGAACGTCGTCACTGGGGCCTTCGGTGGAGCTTCTTATGAGGCCACGAAACGTGTGAGGGGTGTGCCCACAAGGGCAGGGGGAACGCACGCGAGCGTCGCCACTGAGGCCTTCAGTGGGGCTCTGCGGCCACGAAGCGCATGAGGCGTGTGCCTCCTCCTCCTCCTCCTCCTCCTCCTCCTCCTCCTCCTCCTCTCCCTCCTCCTCCTCCTCCCCCTCCTCCTCCATCTCCTCCTCCTCGTCCTCATCCTCTTATTCCCCAGTCCACATCCTCCTCATCCTTTTTCATCCTGCCACTCATCCTCTTCCTCCTCCTCCTCCTCTTCTTCCTCATCCTCCTCCTCCTCCACCACTTCTCTACTTTCATAAGTTGTACCTGCTCCCCCCTACTCCTCATGGTAGCGGTGCGGAGCATGACGAGAAAGATCCATGCGAGCCCGCTCACGCTCGTGTCTCGAGCTTTGGAGACACGCCAACTGAGCTCCCCACGTCCATGGACATGACCAGGTAAGGGCCATCAGGATTCAGGTCCTGCGGAAGCCATACCGCAGGAGGCAGGCCAGGGCGAGGTGGAGAGGAACGCACGGGATACGGCGCTCACATCGCGCATGATGTCGAAACCTCGCCAGTGGAGCCCTCCTGAATCGCTCGACTCCCGTCTGGCGACCGTACCCCGCCTGTCAAGTGCGCATCAAGCATCAAGCTCTAAACGTACGCACGCACACATGGAACGCACGCGCAAATCTACCATCACACATCATAACAGCATGCGGACGTCGGCACACCTGCGCGCTCGGTGCACCAGATGAACACGTGGTTCCGTCAGGCTGCTCAGCGCTGCGCAGAGCCGGCGCAAGCTGAATATGCTTGCGTCAGCCCCTGCTCCGTCGCACCCTGGCGCAATCACGGACTCCAACGATGTAGAGCATTGACAACCATTGGCGCGCTATCCTCTAGCAGAAGAAGAATAACATAAACATAATCATTTTGCGCTCCGCGCGGATTACCTGGCGCACCAGGGGCGGCGCCGGAGGCGCCGCCTGGGAGCCCAACGCGGATCCAAGAAATCCGCTCGGAGCTCCAACAAGATATGCTTATGCCGTTTTTCCTCTTCGAATTGATCATCATTGGCGCGCTATCCTTTGCTTGTGCTCACGCCCTCTGTCCTGAGGGAGAGAGGGAGGTGGCCTCACGTCGTCGTCGTCGTCGTCGTCGTTGTCGTCGTCGTCGCCGCTGGCCGCAGCCGCGGCCGCCAGGTGGTGGGGCGGAGCGATATCCACACTGACTCGGCGCTTCGACATTGGGCGGACAGGGCGGAAGGAAGGGGGGGGGGGGCTTCGGTCGGACCTCTGCTCATTAACGGGCGAAGGGGTATAAACTTTCCAGCCGCCCAGGGGCAGGTGTCCCCGACGGCGAAAAAGTTTATTTTATACGGAGGAGGAGGAGAAGGAGGAGGAGGAGGAGGAGGAGGAGGAGGGAGGAGGAGGGGAGGAGGAGGAGGAGGAGGAGGAGGAGGAGGAGGAGGCGGAGGCGGAGGAGGAGAGGAGGAGGAGGAGGAGGAGGAGGGAGGAGGAGGAGGAGGAGTGTCCTGTGGGGGGACCTCCGCCTGCCTGAAACAGGCGCCAGAAACCGCAGAGATCTCTTCCAGGGAAGGTGGGGGGAGGGGGGACATTGGGCGGACAGGGGGGGGAGGGGGGGGAGGGGGGGAGCTTCGGTCGGACCTCTGCTCAGTGCGACTGCAACAAGGTGTCCTGTGGGGGAGACTCCTGTGTTGGCCACGAACCGCGTCCGGAACGAACCTGCCCGGAACATTGTCCAGAACTTTGTCCGGAACATTGTCCGGACAAAGTTCTGGACAATGTTCCGGGCCTCCCCCACTTCCGAGGTCCTTGGGAGCCCCAGGGCCCTCCGGCCTCGTAGCGCCCGCGGCCCGCAGGCCGCTCAGGAACTGACGTAGATATCGGGGTGCTCCGACGCCTGTTTCAGGCAGGTGGAGTCTCCGAGACTCCGCCTGCCCGAAACAGGCGCCAGAAACCGCAGAGGTCTCCTCCAGGGAAGGGGGGGAAGGGGGGAGGTGCGAGGGCCCGCGCCGATCGGCCAAGCGACAAACGAGAAAACGATCACCACGCAGGAGGAGGGAAAGAACCACACAGACACAATGAATCGTCGACTCCCCAGAAGATATCGCAAGATATGGGAAGTGGGGGGGGGAAAGACAAAAACCCCGAAAATATGGGAGAATGTGGGGAAGCCTTTTGTGTGTATCTATTTGTGTGTGTCCCAGGGCCCCTTGAACCACGCGGATTTTTCTGCTCGCGGCGAGCCGTTCGACGAAGATTCGCACCTGCCGGCCCGTGTGCCGGAGACCCCGCGGGCCCCCTGTGACGGTCTGCAGGTCGCTTGACCGCGCACGTGCCGGCAGCAGGGGCCACACACGCGAACCCTGCCCCTGGCCCCCCACGATCTCTGAGGGGGAGGGTGCGGTTCGCTTCGCTCGGGAGCTCCCGAAGGAAGCGAACCCCACCCGCCCCCTCAGAAATCGTGGGCCCAGGAGGCCCCAAGAGGTGCCCAGGAGGCCCCGAGAGGCCCCAAGAGACCCCCCAAAGGCCCCCCAGAGATACCAAAAACGCCCCAGCGGGCCTCGGCGAGAAAGTATCCCAAACCACAGGTGTTTACGCACGTCTTGGCGACAGCTTGGCCTCCTGGCGGGGCAGGGTTCGCAGGTGGCCCCCCTAGGCAGGGCGGGCCAGACGCTTCGCCCGTGCACTGGCCTGCCGCTCGTGGTCCTGCAGCTCGAGCGTGGCCGTGCGGGGGCGGGGCGGTCTTTTCACAGAGTGCGGCACTCGCCTCGGCGCCGCGCGCATCGGCTTCGGCATCTTGCAGCAGCCACGGGGCTGGAAAGTGGGTCCCTCTCAGAGTGTGACTCTCGCCTTAGCGCAGCACGCCGTCGTCTGAGAAGTCCACAACCGCCCCAAATATGAAGAGGGGGGGGGTTCCAGAGTGCGTATCTCGCGTTAGCCCCGCGAATATTCACGCCAACGGTCTGCAACAGTTCCAGGGATGGAAAAGGAAGCCGTTTTTAGCGTGTAGCCTTGGTCTCAAAGCCGTGCCCAGTGTTTAGTTGTTGTTGTGTGGAGGGCCTTTCCCTTTTCGAAACAGGGATCTCGCCTCAACGCCGCGTGCATTCGGTGTTAGAACTTGCAACCGTTGCAACCGTTGCGATGATGGAGCCGTGCTTGTGTTTTTGTTTCTCCATCACGGGTTTCTTCCTTGAAGCATCCGTCATTGTGAAGACCCGAAGCTGAAACACGTGTAGCACTGCACGGAACGAGCTCATGACCACAAGTGCTGACTTGTGCAACAATTACACGGGTGGCGGGCGGTCCTCCTTCGAAACGGGGGATATCGCAGGACACCTTTTCGAATCGTGTATGATCATAGTTTTCGCACTCCTGGCCACGCATTAAAAGGATGCAACGCAGTTCCTTTTCAAGGTGGGGGGGGGCACCTCTTGCAGCGTGAAGAGGGGAAGCTTGCAGGGGACTTGGGGCGGGGAAGGTATGGCAGCATCGTTCACGCATGCTGGGCTGATCTGGGCCTCCTGTTCATCCTGCTCCTCCTCCTCCTCCTCCTCCTCCTCCTCCTCCTCCTCCTCCACCTGATCACCGTCCTGCTCCTCCTCATCACTACGTGCTTCCTCCTCCTCCTCCTCCTCCTCCTCCTCCTCCTCCGCTTCGTCCGCCCCCCTTCCCCTTGCTCCACTCGGGCGCCCGCTGCGGACGCGAGGGGGCGAGGCGGGCGAAGGAGCGCTCCGCGGCGAAGGAGTAGCCCGCGGCCCCCGCTTCTGCGGGGGGGGGGGGAAGGCGGCGAAGGCCCTGTGGTGGTTCCGCGGCGGAGCGCGCCCCCCCCCCCCCCCCGGGGAGCGGGCCCCGCCCGGGGGGGGGGCCGCCTCCGACGAGCGGAGGGCCCCGCACCCGCTGGCGTGCTGCACAAGCGAGCCCCAGCGCCCTGAGCAAAGCGTAGGTGGGGGACAAGATCGGCGGCGAGCAAGGGGGGGGGAGTGAGCGATGAGAAGTCGGGGATGGGCAGACCCCCCTTTTCGTAAAACGTGGTTTGGTGAAAACGGCCTGAGGCCCAACCCTGGCGGGCGCAAGCCTGGAAAACAACGGCCACGGCGCCCTCACGAGAACCGAAAACGGACAATTCACTAATCGACGTGTCACTGTTGGGGGTTCTGTCCATCCTGGAAGAAGGCCTTCTGAGGAGGCGGTGAGACTTCTCAGAAGCCCCCGCGCCTTCTGAGAAGATGTTTCGGCGTCTTCGGGGGAGGCTTGGAGCACTTCTCAGAAGGCCAGGGGACTTCCGAGGCTTCTGAGAAGGCCCGCCCCTTCTCAGTCCCCCCCCCGCGCTCGCCGCCGAAATAAAGTCGGGGAAATGTGGGACTCGGGTTGGCCTGGCGGGGCCATACTAATGATGACGAGCACCCAGTCTGAAATTTGACGCGAACTCCCGCTGCAAACACCCAACGAAAATTGGACCGTCAAAACCCAAGCCACGATCATCAGAAAGAGCAGGCAAAACCGAGTTCAGGCGTACTCGAGTCTTACGTTCCCCCGAGACAATGACACGCAAGCCAAGCAAAACCACGTCAACGAGGACTGTGTCGCTTCTCATCCTGATTCATGATTCGGCATGTGCTGCTGTGTTTTTGCAAACAGGTTTGTTTTCGATCAGTAGCGATCCTGAGGCCCTTGATTCAAACTTGGGGGAACCACAGGACTGGCGGATCCGCTCGGCGAGCTGTGCTGGTCAGCACGCCAAGGGGGTTGCTGGGTAAGATTGGCAGCGGCCCTTCGCATAAGGCCCCTGCATCTCCACCATCCCGATCACGGTCTGCTTCTCTCCCTCCTCGGGCCTCATCGCCCACGTGGTGTCGATGTACTCCGAAGCCATTGGGAACTCCGGCAGCTGTCAGCGGCTGCTTGTTTGAGCAGAGACCGACCATCTAGGCATTCCTATAGGTCTACCACGGCATGTTATCAGAACAACATAACGCTCTAATAACAACGAAATCCTTAGTTCATAAAACCAATGTCTCAGAACAAGACGGTCTCAGCCAGAACCGTTCTTCAAACAGATCGTGCAGACCGCAAAAGGTTATTAGAGCATTCTCTGGCGGGCATTTTTAACAAGCCAGGACGCCTCGCCACTGCTTGATTTGTCTGCGACCAGGCTTACATTCACGAACGCGCGGAACCACTGAAGGGGCCCTGGGACACACAAATAAATGCACACAAATAAAACTATTCCCTATATTTTCCCATATTTTCTGGGTTTCTGTCTTCCCCCCCACTTCCCATATTTTCGGAGATTTTCTGGGAATCGACGAATAATTGTGTCTGTGTGTTTTTTCCCCCCTGAACTTCTTCTCTCTGGGAATACCCTCCCAAACCTCCCGGCTGGCCAGCGCTTTCAGGCAAGAACATGCGCGCCAGGAGCGAGCCGGCACGCCCGGACTGACTTTTCTGGTCAGGACACAGATTCGGCACTGCCGCTTCTATCGGGGAGACGTAAGACCCGGGTACGGGGGACTCGGAAATCCCCGACGAGGTCGTCAAAAAAATGACGAGGCCGAGCCTGCATTTTGACGAGGCCTCCCGCTGCAGACATCCCACGAAACTCCTCCTCGTCAAAATCCGAGGCGCAGTCGTCAAAAAACGATGGCGAACCCGAGTCCCGGCAAACCCGGGTCTTACGCTCCCCCGATTCTAATGAAAGCCACCTCGTACACCCTTCGCGACGGTGCAGAATTCCCCTGTAACGATAAGCCCGGCCAACCCCCTCTGGCCAACCCTGCTTAGGGCAATTCTTTCCATGTGCAAGAAACAATCAGAATGAGGGGGCCGAACTGTCTTACACCATCCCTGGGGCTTCCGCGGTGAGGAGTCTGAATTTCGCTATCGTCGCCCTCGCCTGCAACCGCCCGGCGGCACAAGCACCCGCGACCCACCCCGCGACCCATCGCACGACCCACCCCGGGGCCCACCCACATTACGTTGACTAAAAATGGGTTCCTGCGGCGGACTCGTTGTGGCATGATTTAGTTAAGATATCGGCGACTGCGGCGGGCTTCATCAAACTTGCTTTAGACCCTCGCAGGACTGCCAGCGATCCCCTCCCCCGCGCCCTCACTGGTATCCCCAACTGGGGGGGTATGGTAGGAAGAATTGTTGCGTCAACTTTATAATCAACCCAGATTGGGGGGCCCAAGACGGGTGACAGAACGCGCGGTGACCTCACAAACCCAGAGGACCTCGACGCGCCCTCCGTCACCGCACGGTCTTGGGACCCTGGAGGCCCCTGTCGCCAGAGACGTCCTCGGAGACCGACCAGAGCCCCCAAACTGGGCGGTGACCCAAATAAAACAGGGCTAGGATCGGGATAAACCGCTGCAGAGCGTTCCGGAGCGCTCTCAGAGCGTTCCGGAACGCTCTGGAGGGGCCGCGGCGCCCAATACATTCTCCAAACCGCCGATTCTCAGAGATTTCGAGTTACCATGAGTTATCCCGATCCGATTTTGCCCCGATCTTCGCGTCGTTTTACACCACACACGCCCTCCTCCGCGTGCTTGGCTTCGGGGCCCTAACTCGGGTCTCTGGCGGCCGTTCGGGGCGCCGGGGGGCACCCCCAGAGCACCCTCGACGAGGGGCAGCTGCTGGAAAAAGTATCCCGAGACGAGAAAGCCCTCGGCCACCGACGAAGACGCGCGAGAACCTGCGAAAAACGCCCCGAAGACCGGGCGGTCACCCCGAACCCCACCGACTCGCTGGGCGTGGCTTAATGGGGGGGTCACAAGTGGGGGGGTCAGAAGAGGTCCCCTTTCGTGCCCCTTTCGGGCCCCTCCAGAGCCCCAGGGGCTCGTTTAGGTACCATTTGGGTACCTTTTCGGACCACACTCGCCGCCCCCCCCCCATTTATGACCCCCCCCTTACGCGGCGCCCACACGCGGTGTGGTCGCCGCGCCGCCTGGGGGCCCCCGATGCACACAACCCACCGCCGGATGCCCGCGCGGACCTCTCGGTCTGGCACCAGATCCCCTCACTTGAGCAGGGACCGGCCGTCCCGGCATTCCTATAGCCATACCACGAAATGGTCTTAGAACCCCAAAAAGTTCCAAGAACCCAAACTGTTCTAAAAGCATGAACCCGATGGTTTAAAACAAGACAGTCCCAGCCAGAAATGTTCGAAGAACATTTCGTGGGAGCCACAACAGGTTCTTAGAACATTGTTTGGTGGGGCTACAGGCGAGCCGGGACGCTTCGCCACTGCTTGACTCACAGCGCTCCATCCCCGGCGCGGCGCGCGGAGCGCGCCACGCAGTCTCGACAGGGGCGCCGAGCAGCATCCAAACAGTGGATGCTCGAAGCATTTGCTGCCCTCTGTGCTCCCCCTCGCCTCTCTCCAGGAACCTATTCCTCCCTCTCCTGATGCGCCTCCCCATCTTTCCCCTCCACCTCCTTCCCCTCGCCCCCAATGCCCGGCGCCCTCCTCCGTAAATCCCCCCCGCGTCTGTCCTCCTCCTCGTGAGCGTTTTCTTATTCGGCGTTTCGACATGGGGCGCAAGGCGGGGGGTTCTGGCTCCAGACCTCTGCTTAACGCGACTGTTTGCAACAGTGCGTCCTATGGGGGAGACCCCACCTGCTCGAAACAGGCGCCAGGGTGCGAAGACCGGCGCAGATCGGCAAAACAATGAATAAGACACCGATCACCTCTCGGGTCGGGCGAAAGGGGGGGATAGCACAGGGGGGTCTGAGAATCAGCTCCGGTGGCTGATTTTCCCGGCACCTCCCGGCGCCGAAGGCGGCTAATGTATCGAGGAATGGGCTCGGTGAGGCCGAAACCAGCTGCTCTCGGGTTCTCGTCCGTGGCGCTCGCGCGCGCCCCGGCCGGGGGAGCGCGGGGTGGGGCCGCGCCTGGCAGGGGCTACAGGCCAGAGCCTTGGCACCTGCCAGCCGATGCCAGGCGCTTGGCGCCCGTCCAGCAGAGCGCACCAGCGCCTCGCCTGCGCGCTCGATGCGGGCGGCGCTCGGTGCTGGGCCAAGGAGGGCCAGAACCGCCGTCCGCCTTGTCGTAGGAGCACCTAGCGGCCGATGGATGTCCACAGCTCGACTCGCGACTCCGAGGTACGTGTGTGGGGGGGGGACGCCCTCCGGCCCCTCCTCTCGCCTCCCGCTCCTCCCAGCCGCCCCGGGGGGCCCCGCACAACATGGACAAACGGGGGGCATGGCGACGGATGAGAGGGGAGGAGTGGAGGACAAAAAACAAAAGGAGGAGGAGTAGAAGAAGAGCGGGGCAGAGGCGGGAAAGGTGCAGGAGGATGAACAGGGAAACCAGGTGAAAGGCGAGGAGGGGGGGCAAGGGGAAGAGGATGAGGAGAAAAGAAAAACAAGGAGAGGAGAGAGGAGGAGAGCAGGAGGGAAGAGGGAGAGAAGACAGGAGGACCAGGGGAGAGAGGACCAGGACGGGAGAGGAGACCAGGAGGCGAAGCACCAGGAGGCGGAGCAAGCGGGCGGGAGGCCAGGACGCCGCCGCCGACAACGCCGAGGGCGGCCGGAAGGCCCCGCCTCGCCGCGGAACAGCGGCTCCGACTCCTCTTTCGGGTTGTTGAAGTACACGACCTGGAAGAGGAAACAACGGCCTCGACATACACTTGTGGCGCTCTGCGCGGACTTCTTCGATCTGCGCCGGACCCCCCTCCCTGGCGCGCGGAGCGTGCCTGAGGCGGCGGCGCCGCCGGGGGGGTGCCCAGCGCGGATCCAAGAAATCTCCGCGGAGCGCCAGCCACATATGACGGCGTCTTCTCTTCTGGCACGACCGGCGGCGGCGCGGTGCAGTCAAAGGTCTCGCACGGGGGGGGCGCGGGCCGCCGACGGACGCTGCCGTCGTCGACGAGGTCGTCGTCGTCGTCGTCGTCGTCGTCGTCGTCGTCGTCGTCGTCGTCGTCGTCGGGTGCGGGAGCGGGAAGGGGGGGGGGAAGGGGGAAGGGGAAGAGGGGGAGAGAGGGGCGGCAAGGGGGGGAGGGAGGAGGGGGGAGGGAGGAGAGGGAAGGGGGGATAGAGGACGGCAAAGGGGAGGGAGGGACGGGACGGAGCGAGGAGGGGGGAATGGGCGGAGGCGGGAGGACGGAGGGGAACAGCAGGAAGAAAAGGAATACGAAGGGAATGAGGAGGAGGAGCTCCCCTCCAGCCCATGTAAGGTCCTCCTCCCCTTCCATATCTTGAACGGCCCCGATCGATCACCGCCAACAAAGGGGTGAAAAAAAAACAATTCAGAAATAAAAAACAAACATCAGATATTCAGAAATGGAAAAATACAAACATCAGAAATTCAGAAATTAAAAAATACAAGCATCAGAAATTCAGAAATTAAACCATATAATTTAGAAATACCGAGGCACAGCGACACAGGCTTCAAACATAACAACAACGAACGCACACGCGACAAAGAGAACCATGCGTGCACGATCCCGCTGAGCAAAAACCAACTGCAACATGCGTCGGCCGCGGTGCAGCCAGGGCGACTCCACCAAAACAGGCGCCAAATCAAAAAGACATCGGCCTTGTCGCTGGCCAGACCTACGGTGGGCGAGACGAACTTGCACATGGTGCGAGTGGCCACTGAAGATCATGCATTTGGTATTCAACTGCGCCCCGCGCGCAAAAAAAAACTCTTCCCGCTTTAAGAATCCAACTGATTGGCGGGGCGCGGTCGAACCCGCCCCCTCGCGCGGCGGGTAAAAGAGCGGTCGTGCTTCAAGAGATCCGAGCGCCCTCGCCTGCGGAGGCCAAAGCGCCGCGGGGTCGACTTGCCCGAGAAGCGGGCGCGTGTTTCGGGTCAACCCGGCACCCGTGACCAGCGCCAAGCGCGAACCAAAATGGCAACGCGTGGGAGGAGGAGGAGGAAAAAGAGGAGGGGACGAAAAAGGACAGGCGGGAGGCAGAGGAGGAGGCGGAGACGGAAGAGGATGAGCAGAAGAGGGCACAAGACGAAGAGACGGGATGAGGAGAGGAGAGGGATATAAAGGATGACGCGGGGAAACTGGACAAAATAACAAAGCGGTGGAAGCGAAAGGATGGGGCGACAGGAGTGAGCCAGGGACGCGCAAGTCAAAAACAGTTGGCAACTCAGAGTAGGGGCGGGGGGAGCACGAGCGACTACGACGGCGGCCCTGCACCCGGAGCGACGGCGCAGAACTTGCGATCCACAGCCGCGGCGCTTTCGGGAGGGAGCCCGTTCAGTTATCAAACATTGGTGAAAGAGGTTGCCGCGGGGCCAAAGGAGGGGCGCCGAAACGTTCGGACGTGGCGGGCGTTAGGATGGGACGCGTGAAGACGCGAAGGGCCGAACGATATACATATGCAAAAACAAGGAGCTGGCGCAAAACACTTACCCATGGACGAGAGATGGCCAAGGGTTTCGCATGCATGCAGTGGACCTGTGGGAGACCTGCTGGCGGTGCCGACGTGCTATCAGATCTAAACCACCAGGCGGAATTAATCAGAGATGTCGTGACCCCCCATCGGCCCATCGGAGTGGCAACTCAGCCCTCACGCATGCTTTCCTTCGCACGAATTGTCCCACTTCCTGCCGGCCCTCCCCTGGCATGCCCTCCTGTCCACCATGCCACCCCCATCAGTATCCCGCTGCGTTTGCGAGACAAGAGGGGCAACAAATCGATGCGAGCGCGGCCATGTACGCAACTGGAGCAGTAAAGATCCGGGTGGCACCACGCACGCGCGCGCACGTGCACACACGGGCACACGCACGCAAACGCACACACACACACACACACACACACTCACGCGCGCACTGACGTGGAGCACGCGGGCCGACGCGCAAACACAGCACAACGTACTTCCACGCGCCGATATACATGCACGGCACGTGCACAATTGGCCTGCGAAAGGAACAACAACGAATCAGGAGGACTACAGTAATCACAGTTGCGCGACTCCGCATGCGCAGATCTTCGCAACATTTCTGACGACGCAAAACTTTGCCACGATCTGGCTTGTACGAGTGCGGTTGGTAAACTTACTGGCGCTTGTCGGCCGAGCAACTCAACCAGCATTGACAAACACCCCCCCCCGTGCATCGGGCTGTTTAGTCCGACCCCTGCTGACTGCTAGTTGCGGGCGCCCCAAAATAGCGCAACTCACCCCATTCGGACTCACGCCATCCCTTTCAAACCTTTTTGGGCAACTTGATCTGCGACGCGAGGTATGCCGCCCGGGCCTCCAGAGATGGACCAAGAGTCGCCCCCCTCTGCTCAATGTCGTTCCGAAGTGTTTTGACGGCCTCCCTGCGATCAAACACAACCTCCTTTTTCGGAATCTCTACCGTCAGCTGGTAGAGAGCGCACGTGGTGGAGACCGTGTCCACGCCGAGTGCCAGCGTGGACTTGGCACTCGACGTGATCTCGTGCCCAAAGAGGCGCCCGAAACCTTTGCTGGCCAAACCTGCGATCTCGTCAACCACCTTGCCCAATTTCTCGGTGGCCTCGGCGAGCTCAGGGAAACGCTTGTTCGACAGCAGGCCTTCTACAATTTCCTGGTTCTTCGGGTCGAGAATGGTATCTTTCGCAACCTGCGGCGGTGCGTAAGCGGTTGGCTTGTCATGGCTAACCTCTCCACGGTCGCGGCGTAAGGAATCCAGGGGCTCGCGAATCGTCATGAGCGACCATCGATGCAGGGCCTCTTCGCCCTCAAATTTCTTCTCCCCCCCCTCCTCCTCCTCCTCCTCCTCCTCCTCCTCCTCCTCCTCCTCCTCCTTCTCCTCCTCCTCAACCACTTCCTCGTCCTCCACCCTCTCCCACGTCCTCGACGTCCTCCCTCCCGTCCTGCCCCTGCCGCCCCTCCCCCCCTCCCGTCCGCCCCCTCCGCCGGGAGGAGACCAGGCGTTGGAGGGGCAATTTCGTTAGCGCGGCAATCCTGTAGAAGACCAGGCGTTTGGGGACAAATTCATTCACGCCGCACTCCCCCTCCTCCCCCCCTCCTCCTCCTCCTTCTCCTCCTCCACCCCCCTCCTCACTCCTCCCTCCTTCGCTATCGTCCTTCGCAGGCCCATGTATGTTTTCTGGGGGTGCCAGCCCATCCTCGGCACAGCGTTTTGGAACCGAATTTCGTGACATATTCGTTGCCCCTTTAAGGCTTTTGCGCTGCCATGCTGTGCGGTGCGTGAGGTATAGCACAGCACGGCATCCTTTGTTCCAGAAGGGGCTCCCGTGTTGATGTTGGTTGATTGGACGGGCTCCCCGTTTAAGGCGTCCGAGAATTGAGCATGTCGGTTGATGTTCACCCGAATGCCTCTCGGAGACCTGCGGGCGAACAGCCAAGAGAGCCCAGAAGGGGCTACCGTTGAACGCGTCAGGGATTTGGACACTGTCCTGGGACTCTTACTCTTACTCTTACTCTTACCCTTCCTCCTCCTCCGCCAGCAGGATGGTTCGAGGACGAGGTGTCGATGTGGCTCGACGCGATCAGCTGAGACCTGTTCACACCGGGGGCGAAGCCTTGGCCAGCAGCAGGAACCCTATCCGATTCGTGCGCGGTGAGACGTTGCAACCCACTCGTGCTCCTCGTCGGCCTGATCCTCGTGAGTCCGGCGACTCGGCTAGTGAGGTGCCCCGCCTCCCCCCCTCCTCGACGCGTCTCCCGACGGGTGCATGATGCGCGTAGATAGGGCCGTGAACAGCCCAAAATCGAGCGTCACATTTTTTTGTTTTTTTCCTCGAGCGGGCATTGTACAAAAGGAGGAGGGAACAGTTTTGAGAATTTCTGCACAAGTGCAGTTTTTCTCAAAAGTGTTCCCTCCTCCTTCGTACCGCTACCGACCAGCCCACAAATAAAATTGTTTCCCATATTTTCCCATATTTTCTGGGTTTTTGTCTTCCAGCCCACTTCCCATATTTTCCCATATTTTCCAGGGAATCGACGATTAATTGTGTCTGTGTGTTTTTTCCCCTCCTGACTCTTGCCCTTCTGCATGCAGGCCCTGATGGCAGGCAGCGCCTGCTCCGTGCTTGCATAGCCTATCCTAGGCGGGAATGGCGCGGGGGCCCTGCGCCAGCGACAGGCACGTGCACACTTTTCCTATACGCTACCAGCTTTCAGACGCATGACATTGCCTCGAGGTCGAGTTGTTGTTGTTGTTCCTCCTCCTCTTCCTTCCCCATCTCCTTCTCCTCGCCCATGTCTTCCCCCCCCTTCCCCACTGATCATGTTGCCCCCGCTGCTCTTCCCCTGTCCTCCTCTTCCTCGTCTTCATCTTGGCCGCTTGGAGCGTCGGCGGCACCGGCCGCGAGGCCTTTGTGATCAGGGGTGCACGACCCTGCGCTCGGCGCCGGCGACATCGCTGCACCATCACGGCGCGCATCGAAAACGGGATGTGCCCTCTGGTGCGAAAATAATTCTCCTGGCCCATCCAATGCAGATCAAATCAATGGCAACGCAGCGCAAATCAAGCCAACGCAGCGCAATGCGAAGCAATGCGACGCAATGGATTACAATGCCGTCGCAGTGCGGCGCAGTGCAACACGAAGCATGCACCTTGGAATTGGACGCGGGGCGATGGATAATGCATTGAGACGGGGGGGGCGGATAGACAAGGGGGGGAGAAGAGAGCTCGAGCGATAGCGATGTCGACGACGAGGGGGTTGCAAGCATCAACCCCACGGACCGCCATTGCGTCGCAACATGTTTGGCCTATCCGAGCAGACCGTCCAGCCCGGAGGAGCGATCTCTTCGATCGTCGACATCAGGTTCTTGGCGTCGTCCTCCCACAAGCCCAGCCAATCGATGATCAGGTTGGAAAGCCGTTTCTCCGCCGCCTGGAGACAGGCGA